TCCCCTTATTATCGTAAACTAAATTATGGAGAATTTTTGTGGATATTTCAATCCAAAGGGGGGCGCGGCTTAAACCCCCAAAATACCCACCTTGCGGCCGACCCTGTACAAACCTATTATAAAGTCAGTATTTTACAACTAATGCAATTTCAAAGTACTCCAATAAAAGTATAAAGTGAAGGTAAAAGTATTATTTTTTCAAGTATACATACTTGATAGCACTGGATCACAAATTTGTCTTTTTTTTTGTTCACCGGATGCCACATTCCAATTCAAATCAAGTTAATATATTTTCTATGGATAACTTTTTAAGATTTTTGAAATTTACCGTTAGTCAGCTTAAAGAATTAGTGGTTCCACTTAATCACGTATATTTTACGAAAAAATCAAACAATCGTAATACGAAATACAGCAAATTAAACGTAATGAGTTCAACTCAGGTGTACATGGCGTATGGGTAACATTCATTAATGCAAATTTTTCATACAAAAACTATTTGTGCATTTTCATTTGACCACTCGTTCTTCTTGACAGGGCTTCGGGGCAAAGTTTTTTTTTTGTCGCCGCTCCTCTCAAGCACAGCTCCGGTATTTTATTTCGGTCCGAGCTCCGCTCTCGCTTCCAATAAATTTTTATTTTTTAACCGACTTCAAAAAAAGGAAATTACCAATTCGCGGAAATATTTTTCTATGTATGCTACCGGATAGCTTGGACCACGTTAACCGATTGCGATAATTCGAAGGGTGGTTGCAAACTAATTTGGTTTAGATCCGATCATTGGATCATGAACAAATTAACAGTAATCTAAAATATTTTCGTGAGAATTAAAGGCGGTTGTGTTGTTTGCTTGAAAATTACTTGTTATTTATTTTTGTATTTACTTACATGTCGAGCCCAAACCAGCAAAAAAACGTAAGTGAAATTTTTTTGAAAATCTGCTCTAAGTGCACTTTATTATCCAAACGAAAATTAAAGCAAAAAATTTTTAATACGCTTTTTTGGCGGTTAGGGCTCCATATACAAATGTATGTATGTATGTATGTATGTATGTATGTATGTACATTTTTTGTGGGTTGACATACATATCGTCGTTTAAAGTACAAAACCGCGTATTGTCATTCTGCAAAACCGCGTAACTGACATTGGCTTGCTCACATAAGCTCTTGGCTCAATCCTTATCCATTCGCCCTGAAATGTACCAGGCAGAAATGCGATTTCTTTATAAAAAAAAAGAGAACCATGTTGAAATATGAGTGTTTTTAACTCTAGAAAATAATTTGTAAAACTTCAATACGCGGTTTTGTATTTTGCTGATAAGCGGTTTTGCATTTTGTTGATAAGCGGTTTTGCACTTTAAACGACGATATGTACATATGTATGTGCCGCTACATATTTTTATGATCCCAATGTATTTTGTCTCGTAATTAAAGTGAGATGTTAAGTCATCGGTTTTCCATGGAATTGTATTTAACTAGGTTGTTTTCTAAGTTCGCTAAGGAGCAAATGAATTGTTTTATACCTTTGCTCCAGCTCCTTCTTCTTCTTCTTATTTGGCGCTGTCACCGCCTAAGCGATTTTGGCCGATTTAAACAAAGCACGTCTGTGTCTCTTCTGTGCCAACTGACGCTAATTGGAAACGCCAAGCCAAGCCAAGTTCCCACCTGATCTTTCCTCTTCCCCCGCTACCACCAGCGGGTTACAAGTTGAATACTTTCAGAGCAGGAGCGTCGGTGTCCATTCGAACGACATGGCCAAGCCAGCGGAGCCGCTGTATTTTAATTCGCTGCATTATGTCCATGTCATTGTAAAGCTCATACAGCTCATCGTTCAATCGTCTGCGGTACTCGCCATCGCCAACGCGTAAGGGCCCGTAAATCTTCCGCAAAATCCTTCTCTCGAACACTCCAAGAGCCGCCTCATCGGATGTTGTCATTGTCCATGCTTCTGCGCCATATACCATGAGGGCATGAAGAGTGACTTATAGAGTGCGGTTTTCGTACGTCGAGAGAGGACTTTACTCCTGAATTGCCAACGCAGTCGAAAGTAGCACTTGTTGGCATAATCGATTCTGCGTTGGATTTCCATGCTGAGATTATTATCGGTGTTAATGCTGGTTCCCAAATAAACGAAATTCTCTACTTTCTCGAAATTATACATAACTATCAACAGTGACATGGGTGCCAAGGCGCGAATGTGCTGACTGTTTGTTTGATAACAGGAGATAATTCCTCTTGTCCTCGTTTACCACCAGCCCCATTCGCTATGCTTCCTTATCCAAATTGGAAAAGGCAGAACAGGCTTCACGGCTTTTGCTACCGATGATGTCGATGTCATCGGCATACGCCAGCAATTGCACGCTCTTGTAGTAAATTGTTCCTAAGCGGTTCAGTTCTGCAGCTTCTATTATCTTCTCCAACACCAAATTAAAAAGTCACACGTGAGTGAGTCGCCCTGTCTGAAACCTCATTTGACGGCGAACGGCTCTGGCGGAGCTGGTGGTATTGCTCAACGTCATTTTACACTGCCGTATGAGTTTTGGCGGGATGCCAAATTCAGACATAACGGCGTATAGGCAACTACTTCTAGTGCTGTCGAAAGCGGCTTTAAAATCCACAAATATGAGGCGAGTGTCGACCCTTTTCTCGCCTGTCTTCTCCATCATTTGGCGTATTGTGAATACCTGGTCTATGGTGGATTTGCCAGGTCTTAAGCCACACTGATAAGACCCAACCAGTTCATTGACGGTAGGCTTCAGTCTTTTACACAATACACTCGATAAGACCTAGTAACCTATGCTTAGGAGGCTGGTCCCGCGGTAGTTGTCGCGAATGGCGGGGTCGCCTTTCTTGTGGATTGGGCAGAGCACACTTAAATTCCATTCGTCTGGCATGCGTTCATCCTACCGTACACAAGAGTTGATGCATGCATTTTATCAACTCCTCGCCGCCGTACTTGAATAGCGGCATCTATTTTCTTTGCAGCTTCCTGTTCTTTCGGGCTCGCTGAAATCCGACTACTGCTCGCAATAGTCGGTTTGTTGAACAGTGCTCTCTGAGATCAGGTGTGAGAGTCGAGTAGCGAAAGCACTGGCTGTCTGTTGTGATTGCAGCTTTTCGACGTTAAGCTTTCGTTGCATATTTATGTCGGAGTGTGCCTACGTCTAAAACACTGGAAGCGTTCTTTCCGTCTATCACAACATGATCGATTTGGTTTCTCGTTTTTCGATACGGGGACAGCCACGTAGCTTGATGCATATTTTTGTGCTTTAACCTAGTACTGCATACTACCATGTTTCGCGCCCCGGGGAAGTCGATCAGCCTCAATCCGTTGTCGGACGTTTCGTCGTAGAGACTGAATTTTCCGACGGTGGTTCCAAAGATCCCTTCCTTGCCCTCCCTGTCATTGAATTCGCCAAGCACGATTTTGATATCATGACGGGGGCAGCGCTCATAGACGAGATCTTTGGATGCCTCATCTTTCTCTTCTGTTGGGGCAAGGGCACAGATGAGTGAGATGTTGAAGAATCTTTTTTTTTCCTTTGATGCGGATTGTGGCTAGACGCTCGTCCTCCGAGATGAACGGCCGTACTCGGCGACGGAGTCTCTCTCCCACCACAAATCCAACTCCGAATTTGTGCTCCTTTATATGGCAGCCGTAGTAGAAGTCGCAAGGCCCCAGGCTTACCTTGTCCCGTCCATTTCTTGCTCGCAATCAAATACACTTTTATATAGCGAGCCGTTTGTTCTAAGAAGACACCCGCTTGCAGCCGCACCTACTGGTGAACAGAGGCTGCAGACTTCAGTGAGCCCTTTAACCGAATAAGTCGGAGTGGCTTCACCGAAGATCTGTCTCTTTCTGCCGTGACCCAAGGCTGCACTCGGATTCGTTACAGCATTTCGCACATGGGATGCTCACGTTGCTCAGAGTGCGCAAACGAGGACGGAAGAGTGGGGATTGAGTATAGCCGTGCAACTGTAACTGCATACCCAGCGGACCGACTATTCGCCATTGCAGCTCCGCTCCAGCTAGAATCCTTCGCTCCTTGCTCCTTTGCTCCGCTCCGAAACCCTGTTTCTTTATTAATCCACCGATTTGGTTCGTTAGTAGCTTGATTTTTTTTATAACCGAACAGGCTTTAAAACAAATGAAAAAAATTTAATGTTTAAATTTTTTTAATTTTTACATAAAAAACAAAAAAAATTTGGAATGATCAATTTCTCAGAAACTATCAGGACTATCGAGAAGTGAAGTTTATAAGCTGAATAACGGTAAACTAAAAATATTTCGAAAAAAATAAGCTCGGTTTTCGGAATCGGATAGTGGCATCCATAATAAAGTTTTGGTGTACACCAGTGTAACTTAAAAAAGAGTATTTACGTTGGCATTTTTGCTCAATATTTTTGGTTGTTCTTGCTAGTCGCATATTTGTTTTTTCAAAAGTCCCAGGATTATCGATTGAAACTTGAAACATCCATAGAGAAAATATAACGCTACACTCCGTAACCTCTTATTGCTAATTAATTTTTTATTCAACCTAATACCATCAAGGGCAACTCCCATAAAATTGACAAATAAAAAGTTTAGAATCTGTAGTCTCTAGCTCCTCGGGGAGTTGCTTTAAAATCGACTGCAAGATTTGACTTAAACATTTTATAAGTTTAATAAAAGCTTGTAAAAACTATAATGCTTTCGATAATGCGAAACCGCTTGGCGAATTTTCACTCATGTGCGATGTGGTTGTATCAAATATTGCACAACCTTAATTTAATTACATGCATACATATCGTTACCTTACTACAAAATGACCTATCTAACATTTTTGTTTTTTTACAGAGTACTTAAAAACTTTATACAAACTAAAGTTCTTCAGTTGCGGTTTTACTCGTTATATTGGTTTTTAATAAACATTTAAACTGATTTTTTGATGTAGTAATTGATTGTAGATTCTATTAAGTCTTTAGTGAGTTATCTACCAACTTTTTGTTTGTATAAAAATTAAAATGGCGTTCGTCGTGGAAAATCGGGATTTCATCGAGCGTGCAGCCAGGATTTATAGCATCGGCAAGAACGATAATGCTAGTGACCACATTCATAACAGCACGGAAAACTGCAATGATGACTGCGCCGAAGCAGATTATCCAGCCATTTTGAAGGAAACGCTTACCACATTCACATGCACCGAGCGCATTGCGTTCGGCACAGTAGTGTGGATTTTGTTTGTGATTTCATTGTGCGGTAATGTTGGTACTTTGCATGTGAATTTCCGGCGTAAAATACGACCCTTTCATCGGGCTTCCCTTATTTCGTTGGCGGTTAGTGATTTGATGAATACCATTTTCCTGGCAGTGCCTTACATGAGTAAATTTTCGACACAATTTGTGGAGCTTTGGGTAAGTTAAATAAAAACTTGGCTGTTAGCGAAGTTCTCTAAAACTATTTGATTTTTTAGTATATGTAGGTACATACTAGAGGGCTGCACGATTACATAAAAAGGTAACATAATCGGCGATGCCAACGCAGCGAGTACACGATACATAATTGTAAATTGAGCATAGCAGAATCGCCGAATCGTTGTGATCGTCAAGATAGTTACACGTTATTAACATATTACCGCAACATCTTAATTAGAAACCTTTGGATGTTGAACTTGGCGGGGCATATTCTAACTTAAGTTTATATAAAGTAGGAACCTAATAGTCTTTTTAAAAAAGTGTGATAGGTATATTCTACTATATATGAAATACCCATAATTACCAACATCCATATGCAAAATATTATTCTTACATTGATTTACGTTTCTAATTTTGAATGAATCGAAAATATTTAAGTAAATTTCTTACTAATCAGTTAAGGTGACCTTCTTAATTACTTTTTCATTCGAAAAATTGGGTTTCGTCCGGATTTTTAGGTTGACTTCCTTCATCGACTTGCAGTCTGAACATTGGCCGCACTGCTATAGAAGATGCCCACTTATTAGCACAGTTATTACTTGACTGCGGATTTTTATGCAAAATACGTAACTTAGAAATATGTACCACATAGCTACAAGCAAAATATATAAATTTGTATACAATTTGTTTATATTTAAGTGTAGGGATGTGCCGGCTATCCGGTCGATTATCCGGCCGTTTTTTTGTTATCCGAGTATCCGGCCGGTTTCCGGATTTCGATTATGAAAGATTCAATTTAAAAATCTAGTTCAGAAATTATTATTTTTTTTTGTATTTTTTTAATCCAATTTAATGTTAGATACCATTGGTAATTAAAGTTAACAATTTTAATATTTTTCTTTATGAAAAGAAGCATTTCCGAATTATCGGGCAAAAATCTATTTATATTTTCAACATAAATGCTACCATGCACTAAACACACTTTCTGAGTTCACTGAGGAAGGTGGTGCGTAGAGATGCATACTTTATTGCCACTGTAAACAAATTCTTTGCGGTTATACTTCCACCTTATTTAAGGATCTGCTTGTCTAGGTATATGGGGTAGCTGTTAATATTTCTCCATTTCTAAATCGCTGCCTTTTGTCTTGTACGGTCTTGTCTACCCATCGTTTGCCAATCCACATCACTACAAAAACTGGAATTAGCATCAGAGTCGTTGGCGATTTCCTCAAAGCATTGCCCAGTTTTTTAACTGACTTCCAAAAAAGGAGGAGGTTATCAGTTCGTCGGAATATTCCGATCATTGGATCATGAAATATATATATATTTTTGTTTTTAATTATTTTTTTTGCTAAAAATTACTTGTTAGCTTTGGGTCACAAAATATTGCGTTAACAGTAGGATACGGGAAGCGGACGACAAACATGCATGCATGATAGTAATTTTCATCACATCTATATATATAAAAATGAAATGTCTTTCGTATGACGGCGATGCCAGACCAAACGGTTGAACCGATTTCAATTAAAAGCACATTTTTGGACGTTCTGTGTGGAAAGTTCTTTGATTTAAATAAATTTGAAATTTTTTGTTGTTGTTGCCGAAAAATGAAGAAAGCTGAGACGTCACGATTTCACAATTTCACAGAGTTTTCCGTATATGGAATGTTACTAAACTACTAAACGGCTGTACCGATTTCGTTTATATTTGGAACATATTTCAGCACCTTGAAGGGAAATATTTCGGATAAAAATTTAATCGCTAGGTGGCGCTGGGTTCGGGATATTCATAAAAATCGCACTTACTTGCTGATTTGGCTCATATTTAGAAAACAATTTAGCCAATTTAAAAGAAATATTTGGACTTGAAACTTATACGATAGGTGGCCCTGTGGCCGAGACATCCCCAAAAACTATTTTACGCTAAGAGAAGGATATATCTACTATATATTTGTGGAAGTATGTATGCATGTATGTATGTGCCAGGTTGCAGCCTAAACGGACGGACAGAATCGAACAAAATTTTGACAGAGTATTACCATGACACCTGGGCCTACAATAGGGTAAAAAATTGGGATTCGACAAGGGGGCGTGGCACCTCCCATAGGCGTGAAATTTTTAATCAGCCATAACTTCGAAACTATAAGTCACATGAACTTGAAATTTGGTATGCAGTCATATATATGGATGGTGCTTACAGTAGAGTATATATAAATGACTTTGTAAAAGTTGGCGTGGCACATCCCATAGGCGTGAAATTTGTTATCAATCATAACTTCGGAACCATAAGTCACATGAACTTGAAATTTGGTATACAGTCATATATATGGTGGGTGCTTATAGTATGGTATAAATAAATGAGTTTGTAGACGTGGGCGTGGCCCATCCAATAGGCGTGGAATATTTTATCAGCTATAGATCCGAAACTATAAGTCATATGAACTTGAAATTTGTTATTCAGTCATACATATGGTAGGTGCTTATAGTAGGGTATATATGAATGAGGTTGTACAAGTGGGAGTGGCACATCCCATAGGAATATTTTATCAGCTATAACTCCGGAACTATAAGCCACATGAACTTGAAATTTGGTATGCAGACATAACTATGGTAGGTGCTTACAGTAAAGTATATATAAAGGGGTTCGTAAAAGGGGGCGTGGAACGTCCCATAGGCGTGGAAATTTCTATCAGCTTTAATTTCACAACCATCTGTCACAAGAAATTGAAATTATGTATGCAGACATATCTGCGGTAGGTGCTTACAGTAGGCTATATATACATGAGTTTGTAAAAAGGGGCGTGGCACATCCCATAGGCGTGAACCCTTTTATCAGCTATACCTTGGGAACCATAAGTCCCAAGAACTACAAATTTGGTGTGCGGGCATATCTACGGTAGGCGCTTTAAGTAAGGAACATGCCATATGCGTGAAAAATTCGGAATCATATGTCACTTGAAATTGAAATTCGGTACGCAGACGTATCTATAGTAGTGTAAGCACCTATCGCATACTCATGGAGATAAATTGTGGTTGTCGGAAAAGGAGGCGTGGCACTTCCCATACACATCGAATTTTTCATACTGCATATCTCTGAATGTGTTCATGGAAGAGTACTGGAACTTGGTATGTACAAGATATATAAAACGCGACTGGTCATGAAGAAAAGTTGGGGCTATTGGAAAAAGGGACGTGGCACCTCCCATGGTAAATTACTCTAAAATGGTATAGAGATATATGAAACCAATCCCATGCTCTTAGAGAAAATTGGGGTTATTTGAAAAGGGGACGTGGCGCCTTTCAAACGCACTGAAACTATTACGTATCTTTATATGCATGTACAGTTTTGCTAAGTTATTTAAGACGGCAAATATGCCTTCTGACAACCACCAAACCGTAATATTAGAAGACAAATGCGTCACTAAAAATCATGAACGTGAACTCTTGGTGAAAATGTTGGACCAAAATGTTTCAATACACGGTTAAAAATTTCGGTTTCATTTTAAACTTTTTGGACTACATATATGACCAAACTACATATGTAAATTCAGTTTCAAATACAAACCTTCTAAATTTAAAATAAAGAGGGTACATATGTTGGGTTTAGAATTTAAACAGTTCGGTTTAAATTTTAAACCCAAACATTTTCATAATTAAGAATAAAAAATAAAAATAAAATTTCATGCTCCGTCTGATGAGGATTGAACCCGAACAGTCTTAGTAGCAACCAAATGTATCAAGCAGCTTTGCACACTCAGCTACAGCCATGCATGTAAATGTGCTTTCATATGTTGAGTTTGAATCAATACCACATTTCGCTGTGTGCAAACATTTTCTATTTTTCGGTTTAAATTTTAAACCAAATTTGCTATATAAAAAATATATGCCTACAAAAATATATGTACACGGTCAAAAATTTGGGTTTAATTTCTAAACCACGCTGGGACTACTGCCTTTTTTAATCTTTTATAGTCTACTTTTTAAACCAGTCAATGTGCATGTCCAATTAAAGACATACAAAAATATATTTTCTTCTTATTTGGCACTACAACCGTTTGTCAGTTCGGGCCGAGACCAAAAAGCTTTTCCGATTGCCTCTCTCCTGTGCGAATTTGCGCCGTTCGGTTATCCCGAGCGCAGACAGATCCTTCTGCACTTAGTTCTTCCATTGCGTTCGTGGGCGCCCTTGCTTTCGTTGTGCACCCATGGGTGCGGAGTCGAAGGATCTTTTCACCGGAGCATCGTCATCCATGCGTACAACATGTCCAAGCCAGCGCAATCGCTGTGCTATTATAGTAGCACAATGCCACTAAGCGCATTTTAAAATTTTCAGGCAATAGCCTCATGCGATTATCGATTATATTTTTTGCTACTTGTGTGAAATATTTTATTTTTATCAGTATTTTTCTTTTAATCAAATTATGTTGAAATAAAAGTCAAACTAAAAAATAAATTGCCAGAACCCCCCCGAAAAAAAATCTTGGCTACGGGCCTGCTAAGTACTATAGAATTCGCCTTTCTGTGCTGCCAGAAAAGAGGGGCGGAAGAATTTTTTGCGCAGAACTTCTATTTGTGTAGGCGGCCTTCGGAATTTTTTTATTAATAATTTTCACAATAGATTAAAATATAGTTTTTATAAAAAAATACCGCTGGCGAAATCGATTAAAACACGGTGTTTAAAAAAGGGGCCGCAGGCGAAAATTTAGAATAACAAGTGGCGCGATTTTTGTTCCGAATTTGCAAAATATACATATTAAAATATTGTGTTATATTAAAACAAGTAAGATAGTCTAAGTTCGGGCGGAGCCGAAAATTAAATACCCGGCACAAGTATTAAATATATATTTTTCACCTTTACGAAGCCTACCGCTACATGGTAAGCTGGGGTGTATCAATTTTGAGTAAATTAGCGTCCTTAAATTTCGAAATATTGAAGTTTCAAGCATTTCTGAAATTGACCGTCATATGAAAAGCGGCCGTAATTTTAGTCCGAGTCAATAATTTTCAACATTTTGCTTTTATGTGGCAAGCACAATAACCATACCGAGTTTGGTACAAATTGGTGGAACGGTTACCGAGATACATATGCATATGTGATCATAAGTGGGCGGTGCCACGCCCATTTTCCAAAATTTTATCATAAACGTGTTTCTTGGTACAGAATTGTTGCAAGCATCAATTTTGAATAAATTAGCTTTAATATTTACTGATTTATCGAAGATTTTGTATTTCTCTAAATTACCGTTATATGGGATGTGGGCGTGGTTATTGTCCGAAATTTTTCGGCAATTTGGTATGCTGTACTAAGGCCAACAACTGTGCCAAGTTTGGAAGAAATTGGTGCAGCGGTTACCAAGCTATACACATGTAACCATAAGTGGGCGTGCCTACGCCCATTTTCCAAAAATTTATAATATTCTTATTTCGCGTCTAAAAATTATAGTAAATATTAATTTTGAGTGCATAATCTTCAGTAGTTACCAAGATATCGCATTTTCGTATTTCTGAAAATGACCGTTATATGGGAGGTAGGCGTAGTTATTGTCCGATTTTGTCCATTTTCAATATCGGATATCCTACGCCAGAAAGAAATGCACGTAACAAGTTTCGTTAAGATATCTCAATTTTCAGTCGAGTTATCGTGTATATCGTATACAAGCAACCGTTATGTGAACAAAGTTATAATACTGTTGTGCACAAGTGCGTTCAAGTATAAAAAGTGAAGTTTAATATCCAAGTTTTCCAATTTTTAAGCTTAGTTCACAGCTGAAGAAAAGTTACAAGAAATGTTTTTCATTATTTCTTTCGATTGCAAAAAATACTTTGCCATTGTTTTACATTTCCTTAAAGAAATATTTATATACATAACAATTTTAATACAAAATTTCTTTTTCATTTCTTGAGCGTGTTTTTATATGCTTTTTTTTCTTGAGAGCTTTAAAATATGCTTTAGGTTCAAAAGTAACATTATGCCAAATGGGGTTAAGACACCTTATATTTAAGAAGTGACATAACCCCAAGTACAAAAATTGGCCTTCTATCACTGTATAAGGAACCACTTAAGGTAATGTCATGGTACCGTGCGAAAATTATTCGAAGTTAACTACTTTAGCTTGGTGAATATTCAACATAAAATAGGTGAACTGCATAGGCGGAATGTGAACGAGTTCACACAAAAAATTCATGATAAGGCTGAATATTAGGCATATAACAAATGTTGACGAAAAATTTGGCATAGCACCACGTGGTGGCAAATATTGTACAAGTAATGAACATCACTTTTTTAGGTGATTTCGGTTCAAAAACGTTCCGCGCAAAAATGGATTTCTAAAAAAAGTCAGATTTTTTTTAAATTTTTTTTAATATTTTTATTTTTACATTTTTGTCAATTGTTATATGAAATAAGTTATAAGTTTAAAGTATGTGATGATTTACACAATGGTAAAATGTCTTGCACAATTTTAATTGCACGCTCTGCGCAGATGTTACTTCGCTGAACTTCCTCAATAGCTGATGGTTTATTTACCCAATGTCTGAGAAAACATTCATTTGCTTTTGTGAAGCCGGCCAATGATTTCTGTAGTGTGGCGAAATTATTTTTGTTGAAAGTATGATCGGAAAACCAGATTTCGCTCCAAGCACCGCACACAAACTTACAAATAGGATATAATTGCAAACGATATTCAGGAATAAGTATAAGGGCTAAAAGTGCCAAAATAGCTCTAGAATTCCAACGGGCATTATTGAGTGCTGGTATTGTTTTAAATTTTATGTTGGGAAAACGTTCATTTTTCTCGAAGTATTTAAAAGATTCGACCAATTCATATAAGTATTGCATGTCATTTCGCCATTTAATGCTTTTAACCTTAATACACTCTTTATTTTGTTCATGCTCTTTTTTTAGATCATCGTAATTTTCTATTAAATTTGGAATAAAATTGTATGAAATATTGGGCGATGATGTTTTTCCCTCTAAAAGCTCATCCATGACATGTTTTAACATCAAATCTAGCACATGATGTTGACAACCAATATACTGTGGAGCGGGCAATGAAAAGGATTACAAAAAATTTTGTTGGCGAGTGACAACACCATGGTGTCTGCCAGTATTCACACTGGTTGTTCTTGCATAGAGAACATTAAATAAAAGAGAAGAAGTATGTAACTACGCTCTCGTCTCGTTAGATGTAAAGACATTGTCGCGCGCACAGCTGTGTTATTATTATTTGACTATCGAGTTCTTGAATAACTTGCTTTTTCTTTTTTAAATTTTTTAATATTGAATCAGAATTTTCTGAAGAAAAATTAGTTTGGGGTGGGTGGGGCACTTCCCTTAGGTCCATTAAAAGGCGTTTGGAATAATAGGAAGATTATTAGTTAAATAAATATCTATTATTATGAAGAAAAACGTGTACACTGTACAAAACTTTTTTTGTTTTTTTCAGCAGTTCTGATAAAAAAGTAATTTCGTTTTGCGCGGAAACTTTTTTGCAATTTATAAAAAAAAAAAAAATTATGGGGGTTCATACCTTTTTATGCTCTATTCGACTACGGTATGCCGTTTTTCGTATTTGCAAAAATTGTAAAAAGTTATATGCCTACTGAATATAACAATATTGTGTAATTTATAAAGCGTAGTCTATCGGATATTAGATAGATAGAATATTCGAATCCGAATCGTATTTTTTTACATGGTATCCGGAATCCGGTTATTCGGCAAAATCTCTATCCGGCACATCACTAGATAACTGGTACATATTTTGAAGCTCCGTTTTCGGCATTAATATCCGCAGTCTAGTTATTACACCGCTAAGCTATTACAAATCGACGATGCTGTTAGTAATCACAAGTAGCTATGCTACTTTCGCATCGTGGTAATCGTCAAAAGTGTTAGTTAATAACCAGGGCTCGGAATCTCATGCACTAAAAAATCGAAAATATGCGCATATAGTGTGTATTCAAAATTCAAAAATATGCGCTATAAACAAGTAAAATATACAATTAGAAATATTTTCCTAATATTTTATTGCCGGTACAAAAACAAATAACAAATATATTTTAACAAGATAATAACGAAAACAATTAACTTCTAAATACAATACATATTTATGCATAAAATTAGTTTATAATTTTAGCAGACAGTCACAATCTTGTGGAAATAGAAACATTGACAGTTTAACAGTGGTTCAGATGAATATTCTGTTGGTTTAAGTGGTGACAAGCTATTAGTAAGTTTGCCATTTATATTCCACAACTTGTACTACCTACAGCCGTTTAGCGACTTAAATGAATTTCAGTACGTCATACAGAGAGAGGCAGCTACACTCCAAAACATTTTGCAGGAATGGCTTGCCGAGTGTCTTAAGCCTCATCCTTGCGAGAGCTGGACACTCGCACGGTAAGTGTTGAACTGTCTCTTTTGAGCCAGAATTATCGCGACTGTGACAAAACCTGTTGAAGGGTAATGCAATCCTTTCGGCATGCACATCACCGGGACAGTACCCTGTGCTCACTGCAGTAAGTTTGTAGGTATCTTCTTTGTTCATTCTTAAGAGAGCTTTGGCTGTAAGTGGTTCGTAGGAAACCCAGAACTGCCGGGTAATCCTATACGATCATTCACAGTTCCACCCCTTCTTGGCCTTCGAGTGTTATATTTCGGTAATTTTTGTGTGTGACGCATTCAGTGCGGAGCCGCACCTTGCCAGTTCGTCCACGCCTTAATGGCCGCTTGGCTATCCGAGAATATATTCAGATGAATATTAGGAAAAAATTATAGGCAATTTTATGTCGAGAGTTTTCGCACTAAATTTAAATGGTTGTAAATCAAAAAAATGCGGATATATGCAAAACTATATGCTTTTATTATAAAATATACTAAAATATGCGCACTAAATATGCAGAAACAGGTATTTTTTGCAATATATGCAAAACTTTGCATTTACTGCAAAATATGCAAAAAAACACTAACGATTGAATGCCATTTTAAAGGAAATCTCATGATTCGTAAAGAAAACTTAACCATTTCCGTTGAAGATGCCCAATAAAAACATGCATTTGCATGAAAAAGTACTCGTATGATACTATTGTAATCGTGCAGGCTACTGGTACACACATACATATTTATATACTGAGAAAAGAGTTTCTCTCAACACATGATTTTGATATAGTTACATTATTTGGTTATAGTTACCAAATCATGTGTTGGGAGAAATATATTTAGCTGACTTTTTTCTGAGTGTACAGGGTGTCCTTGACCACCCCTCTCCATTCCCTCCATTTTAGAGCGGGTGGACGGGTGGGCTGGTCGTCTGGGACATCCTGTATACATAGATATGTACATATCTGTGCCGTTCAATTCAAATAGCCTAAGTCAATTCAATTAAAGTTTCCCTTTAAAGCCACATTTGATTGGGTTCCTAAACAATGTTTTAACGTTTCACTAGCCGAAGAGGTGTAGTTCATGATGCCCTTTTAATAAATATATAAACATTTTCAAGGGAAACTGATTATTTTTTAATTCAAAGTCAAGCATTCTAAAGTCACTTAAGCTACTTTAATTGAACGGCACAGATATATTACCACTCTTTATATACTCATTCATATCTTCATCTTTGTTTTTCTTCCATTTCTCACAGATACTTGGTAGTACCATGTGCCATTTGGTGCCATTCTTAACCACCGTAGCTATATTGGTCAGTTCGATGACGCTTGTGGGCATCGCTTTGGATCGTTATTTTGCAGTCATGAGAGCCGTAATTAGTTTTTGGAATCCTGGTGCCATTTTCTGCGTGCTCAGCATGCTCACTATTTGGGCAACATCCATGGGCATCTCTTATCCAGCGTTACGCGTTTATAACTTATATCCCGTTTACATTCTTACTGTTGCTACAGACGCTAACGTTGATGGCTCACTGGAAAACTTCACTACAGATTCATCAGCAACGTTGTCGTCAACCGAAACTACATTTACGTCTTCACCCATTGTCGCAATAGATACACAATCTGGCTGGGAACAAGAGGCCTTCAACAAAAATGTGTCATACATACCGGTGACACAGGATGCGCTTGTGATTATGTGCGCTTGCGCCAAGGTAAGAATAGTTGGTGCTTTTTACAAAGCGTATGGGGGGTGGGGGGGTTTGATGGTTGATGCAATATTTGTGTGAACTGTGGCAATTGACGAAGCTGCTTATCTATCTTTTCTGTCCACTGCCGATACATGGAGCTGCTTTTTCCCGGCAAAATAGATCGATTGCTCTAATTAGTGTTTCTGGCGATGTATCTACCGCTTGTCAGCACGCAACACAATTATTAGTAACGATTTTTTGCTATTTTAGCCTGGCAGCTATTGCTCCGTTTATTAGCATTGCTGATGATAACCGTGATAACAACTCTTTAATTCGTATACGTAATATTTTTCCTTTCTTTCAGTCAACTATCATAACATACTACTTCATTGTGTTCTACATAATTTTCCTACCTTCAATAATTGCCTTTGTATGGATCAATGCAGTTATTGCCAAACAGCTATGGAATAGACGTCATACTGCCGCCGCCATTGATGAGAAACAATCAAATGAGGCGAAACATTTTCGAAAACGCCAACAGATCCAAAGTGGTGGTGTTTATTTGAAAAAATCTGATGACAAAGAAGACACAAAGGAACCAGCCATTTTCAATTTAGCAACTATATCTAGTAGTGTAGCGGCTGTCGAATATGCCCGCGTCAATGGACCCAATCCAAGGGATCCAAGCCACATTAGCGCAAAACCATATATTTTAACATGTACACCAGCGCAATTAGTGCCAACCAAACCCTACAACAATCGCGAAGCGCGTCACATTCGAATGTTCATCGTCATTATTGTGTTAATTTCCACATTCCTCTGTCTCCGCTTACCCGCGTGGATTTTCCTTCTAATACGCCTGCATGGCTATGACGCCCCACATATGGAATCCTGCCTTAACTTTGCCTTTGGTATTCTAAATCTAACCAGTTCGATGTTGAATCCGTTCTTGTATACCTACCTGTCAGAGACAATTAAAATTGCACATACTATTAAGAGAACTGTGCGCAAAGTAGTTTGTGGATGCGGGTTGCGTCAGCAGAAGCATAATCATGCCGCCACGCGGCCAACAGCGACTTATGGCGGTTGTGATTGTGGTGGCATACCTTTGGAACATTCTACACGGATCTGTTGTGGGAGCCGTTGGCTGGATAAGTTCGGTTTTTGTACTCAGAAACTACTTTGCGAATTCCTTTGGAGCAATAGTAATAATAACAAAGAGCCAATACACCTAATCTCGGATGATGGACCAAAAGTAAATAGCTCGATGGATGCTAATGAGAAGGACGAGGGTATCGATTGTGGTGCTGAAAGCATTGACTCCGATAAACAGATTTCTCCTGGGCTGTTGATGTCTTCTTCGGTAAAAATACCAATGTAATCGATGTCATGACAGTGCAATTGTGTATAAAGGTTCCGTTTGTCTAAACTTAACCTACGTAAGAAATCGTCAATGATTAGTCAATGTGTCAATTTAGAAAGAAGCAAAAATATTTTGTTTTTCAGATGATTATCACTTTGCCGCCTATAAGCTATATCAAGAAATTCCTGAAAAATAATATATTGCGTTGGCCAATATATTTATTAGGTTACGTTACGTGAATTACGCTAGAACTAACTTAGCCTTAAAAAGTGTTTCTTATTTACAAGTGTGACTTTGTTTTGTAGTTTGGAATCGTAGAAAACTGTAAAACATATATAGATATGTGTGTATAATGGATATGAATATCGTCGTTTTAAGTACAAAACCGCGTATCAAGAAAATGCAAAACTCCGTATGTGAGATTGCCATGATTTTGTAGGAGATTGTAAAGCTAGTCATATTTCAAAACGATTCTCTCTTTTATCCCTAATTATCTCTTCTTTTTATATATAAGTATCGATATTTAATTATAAATGGATAAGGGCTTTTTTGGCACAAATGTCAGTTACGAGGTTTGGCAGAACGACGATACGCGGTTTTGTATTTTAAACGACGATATATGGGTAATTCCGTGTCAAATCGACGTGTTAGATTCGACCACTATAATGAAGTTTTACCAGCAGAAAAAAAAAATATTTGCAAAAGTTTTGCGAAATTCAAAATTTCAAAATTTATTCCAGCTTTTCAAGTTTATTTTGTTAATATCTCAAAAATTATTATAGCTGCAAAAAACGTCTTGGACTCATTTTAAAAAGAGGATACCTGGGGCTACAAAAATATATGTATTCAAAAAATAAATTTGGAAAATGCGAAAAATTGGAAAATTGCTAAATTTTCAAAATTGAATAAATCAAAAACCAATATTTTTTTGGGAAAATTTTTTATGCAAGGCACATCTGCATGTTTTTAACATAAACTTCCATGGAGGTGTTTTTGCTTTCGCATTCTATTAATAAAATATTATCAAATTAATACTCAATTTTAGTATTTTGAGTCATAAGTGTTAAGTGTAAGGCGATTGGAGGACAAATTAATCTATATGAATTAAAGCTTCATCTAGCGAAGGAAAGGGATTTCAAATAAAACATATGTATTAACATCAACGAGTTTAATATCCTGTATTGCAAAAATCGTAAAAGCATACCCAGGAAAAATCGGCAATCGTTTTTATTGGTAACGTGTTCTAGAAGGCATAGCGATGTAATGCCTTCGAATTTTTTCGCTTCTTTTAGGCATTGCCGGTAATGCAAAGTAGTATGTCCTACAATATTTTTTTTATTTCGCTTCTTTGCTTCATTTCGGGGAATGCAAAGTAGAATGCTGCATCGCACTCAGCTGAAAAATAGAATGAATATCCAAAAAATCTTTTTCTACCGTTACTTTCTGTGGAAATTTGTCTCGCATAAAAATCGTGTTTTGCTTTGTTCAATTTGCAACGAAGTACAATTTTAAGCTTAATTAAATATGCATGTATGTACATACCGATTTTTAAGTAAAATATAAATACCTAAATACATACATATGTATTTATGAAAAATGATTTATAAAAATTTGAATCTTTTAAGATATTTTCTGATTTCAATTTAATATAAATAAGTATGTACTAATCTGCGAAGTCTACATTAATTTCTCTGTAAGGCAATCTTTATTCGCTTCTCTGGATTCTGTTTATTCATGCGTTCTCCCTTCGTTCGAAGGTAATGCTGCGGGTAAAGGCTTACGGCCAATGACATGCCCATGTTAAAATAATGCCTTCTTGCAGCGAAAGGGTAAGCGATTCCCATCGCCAAGCTCGTTTCCACTTTCGTTTCTGTGTTAATAGTGTTTTTTGCTGGGTACTGGCAAATAAAAAAGGGCACTGGTTAGATTTATCCAAATGGTTTTCCTATTTTTCCATACAGTAAAGCAAATATACAGATATAAAATTTATATTAACGTAATTCATTAAATTATAACTAATGTTTGAAAAAAATATATATATTTGGAGACAAATCTCAGCCAAAATTTTGGTCAACAAGTATCCATTTCCCTAGAACGCAAAACAATGTTAATTCTTGATATCGGCTAAAAGTTATCGTTAGGAGACGAGATTCAGGGTTGTATAAACTTATCAATGGTTTGTGAGGCGAGTTGGTTTATGCGACAACTTAATTCACGACAATTCAAAATGGCCAAAAAATACCCCAAAAGATAAAAGCTGTAAAAGAGTAAAAATTTGTGAAGGGGGCCACCATTTTTTCGAAGTTCGAGCTTTTGTTGTGCAATTATATGTTTAAGCATCAGAACTATAAAAGAAAAATACAAGTTCTACATTGTTTCGAAGCTCGAATTATTTTGGAAGTTATAGCTATTAACATTTTTCGAAATGGATTAGATTTTAATTGTTTTCTCGCGATTGGAAATACCAATTCTGCTCACATTTTAAACCGTTGAGAATTATGGTGTTTTCTTTTCATTTTGATTTTTTATTTGGCCATAAATTTAAAATATAAACAATTACTAATAGAACGTACAACAATATTAGCCCAAAACGCGACTTTAAAGCCATTGAGATGTCAGTAATATATAAAAAATTTTAATAACTTCCATAAAAAAGAATTACGGCCAAATAAAAAATAAAAATGGGAAGAAAACACCATCATTTTCAACTGTTTAAAATATGAGCAGAATCGGTGTTGCCAACCGCGAGAAAATAATTAAAATCTAAACAACTTCGAAAAATGTTAATAGCTATTACTTCCAAAATAATAGCTCGACCTTCGAAAAAATGGTGGCCCATTTCACAAATTTTTACTCAAAAGCATATAGAAAAATTAAAATAATGAAAAAAGTCTAAACTTAAGTCATATTTGTGTTCTAAAATGAATTGCTAAAAATTTAATTGTATGTTAATTTCTTTTCATGTTTTTATTTAAATAAGTTAATAGTAAAAAAAAACACTTTTAAAACAAACTTTTTAAGTATGAACCAAATCGGACCATAGATACTGGATTCCCAAATATCTGCCCCTGCGCAACCTCGCATTGCATTGTCATCGGGTTACGAGCTAAGTTTAAAGTTTGAAGTCTCTAGCTCATCGGAAGTTCGTGAAATATTGATTGCGAAATTCCGAGACATACATGCATAGTAAAGTTGAATAAAAGCTTGTGAAAACAGCAGAATTTTTGCCCAAGTAATTTTGAATTCACAATTTTACTTTCCAAAATTTTAGCTCCCCATCATTTGAATCTTACTGAATTTAGACCCGAAATAATTTTAACTGCAAAGAATTTTTTCACATTTTTTCCGCTCCCAGATATAAAAATTATTATTCAGTTTTATTTTTCCACTTAAAAATAATTATTATTTATAAAATTGAAAAGGACATACAGACGCATTATCTATGCTCAAATTTTGACCCGAAAATTTTGGGATTTAATCCTTTTATTAGGGTGTCTCTGCCTCTGAAACGAATACGCCGGAAATCTCGCTGGTATAGCATTCGAGTATTTTGAATGCTCATTATTCTTAAGTGAAAGAATAAAACGAAATAATAATTATTATCTTTGAGCGAAAAAATAAAAATCTTCAAACAATCATTATTTTCGATCGAAAAATATTAAATATTATTTTTAATCTTTATTGACTAAACTCGAACAATAAAATCGTTGTAAATTACAGTAGAATGTACGAACAAAAATAAGTGAGAACTGTTAAAATTGTTTTACGACGATAACAACGTGTTGATTTTTTTGGTTAATCTTTAAAAAATAATGATTATTTTACATCCCTGGTTTTATTTGAAACCCCTCTATTTAGGTTAATTGGTCCTGTAACCGCCTTATAAGTAATACTTATTGCTCAAAATACTAAAATTGAGTCTTAATTTAAAAAAAAAGAAAAAAATTCGAGTCCAACATTTATTTTTTAATACATATACTTTTGAGATATAAACGAAATAAACTCGAAAAACTTTAGCAAATAATTTTTTTCCGTTGGTAGAACTTCATTACAGGTTGAAAGAAAACTTCTAACCGAATTTCAGATACATAGATTGAAAGGGGTCGATTCTAGAGGTGTACGCCGCCGAGTTACGAAAATATTAGTGCGGCGGCGGCGTTCGGCGCCTAAGGAATTTTGTACAAAATTTTCACGATGTATGCACATTGAAATACATCGTTTGAAGGAACTAAATACTACTCGTATAAAAACACTAAGTATTTTACGAAATGAAAATTACATTTTTAAAAAAGTTTTTTTTTTTTGCATAATTTGGGCCACTGAACATTTCCAAAAAAAAGCATAACTCAGAAGAAACATATATAGGTAACACGTTTTTCGATTCAAAGGGTTTATTACAGTTAAATTAGGGTCGAATACTGGTAATCCGCAGTAGAAACTATTTTTCAAAACTACAACAATACTACTTTGTATATACTACAACAACAAGAAAGTTATAACACATAAAAAACTTTAATGCCAATATCTCAGAAAGCAGTTTTAACAGAAGCACCGTTATTGCATCTAACTCCTCAATTTCTTATTGGAGATAAAACAAAGACAAATTGGGTTTTCTGTGTATTCTCTTTAATTTTAAACAGACTTTTAATAAAAAGCAAACACTCTTTTTTGCTAATTTCAAATTCGTAAGTTATTTTATTCTGGGGTCCAACGGATGTATATAAGAACTAGGTGGCTGTGTGAAACTTACGTTAGCATTGCTAAGTGGTTGTCAAACCCCAGGAAGGTTTTTGCGCCCGCGCAACGCAATGTTTTCTACACAGGGCTAAAGTCCCCTTTTTTGGTAAAAATTGCTATTATTTTTCATTTACATTTACATTCGGTTCTCCTAAGAAAAGTTTAGCGCTTAATATTTTAGTGGAAATTTGAACCATCTATAAGCCATTTTTTAAACAGTGGGTCAAAAAGGCCCGTTCTGGTGGGCTTGTTGGGGTAAACTTTTGGAAAAAAGTAGACCA